CACTTCTAGCCACGTGTAATACACGGATGGCTCCAGGCTGGAGATGCCTAACTGCTCCCCCATTTTCGACTTTACTCTTTACCGACCAGGCCCAGACTACCCTAGATTTTGGAAGGAGACCAAAATTAGTGTGTTACAGGCGTGTTTAAGATGGTGTGCTAACAGTTGGGGATGTGTGGGTGGTATGGGGGAGGATTTCACCTCTGACACTGTGGAGAACTGCAGTTAGCTTTATTGGTGAGCTGAAGTTCTCTACAGAGCAGACACCACTGTCACCCACTGCACAGGGCCCAGGGCTGCCCCTGCCCACACCGGCACCACCCGCCATGACTGAGTGAGACTGAGAGGAGGTGGCATATGTTAGGTGATGGCACTGGGACCCAGGTCAAACCTATCCTGATGGGAGTTTGCCCTGATGATAAAAGTGACACACGGACACACACAACTCACACATATCAGAGCCTTGCTATTTTAAGAATGTACTTTATACAAAATAACCAGTTCATATGGAAATAAATCTACAGACCTCTGAGGATCAAAAAGCTTTTAAAAAAGTTCTTTAAAAAATTATCCAACACACAATATCGAACTAACTATTGAGGTAAGTGTCGCTCTCAGTGAAACAGGGCATCAGCAGACCACGACAAAATATACACAATATAAAAATAAATAGCATTCCCCTTTCCAGTACTGGCCAGGAAAGCTCACACAGCTTTTGCAGCAGGAGCGAAGAATCCCTGAACCCTTGTGCCACAGGTTGGTGGATGCTGACCTGGGCCCCCAGGAGCTATGTGCCAGGCAGGAGGGAAGGTGCCCCAGCCCCACTAGGAAAGAGAAGGGGTCCCAGAGTCTGAACTCAGCATTCCAGTAACCTACTCCCTAACCACACCTGTTTCCAACCCCATCCTACCCCACCCTTTTCAAACACACATGCAGGACAATGAGTTGATTATCAGGCATTTCTACAGAAAGGTTCAGTGAGTCCCCTGGTGCAGAATGAGAAAGAGACCAGCTGGGAGACAGCCCCTCCAGATGTCTGTTTAGCAAAGGCCTACAAAGCAGAGGGAAAAACACCCTGCCTGGAGACAAGGCGTGTGCACAGCTTCATATGAGATGAAATGCAGGCAGAAGTGTTCACTCAAGTACTGTCTTCCCAAAAGGAAAGCAGGTCTAGGCTCAGTGTCCTAAGGCTACACGGTACAAGAGTCCAATCCACCAAGAAAGAAAAGGGGAGCCTGGTTTCATCTCCCACAGCAAGTCTCAACCACAGTCTTCGTTCCTAGACGGTGATGTGAGCCCAGGAGTAAAAGCCTCTGCACACTCAACCGAAACGCCGAGTGCTTCACTGCAGTGTTGAACAGAGTGCTGTCCCCAGGTATATTGCATCCCAGAAAGCCCCAGCGTTTAGGTCTTTGTGTCTCTGTCTCTGGCCTCACACTGACACACACACTGACACACACACACACACACACACACACACACACACACACACGCAACCAACTTCCGTAGTGGGAGGTCCATAAAGAATCTGGCAGGGGGTGAACTGACTGACAGGCACAAAAGGGGGCAATAATGCTAAAAAACTCTAGGCCTTTCATTTCCTTCAGTTTCTCTGAATGCATGTAAGGATTCTGACACTAGGGAACTGTCGCTCCCTGGAGACTGCTGAGTTAAGACTTCCTGTGAAGTTTCAAATTAGGTCTTAAGAGCAGTATATTATGCATCGATTTGAAGAGCCAAAAAAAAAAAAAGTAAGAAAAAGTTCAACCAAGTGGTATGAACTGAAAACTTGTTTCTGGTATCTGTGATGACTGCAGCACTGGGATTTTGTGTTTTGGACAGCACTTATCATGCTCTCTGACTCCAGTAGCAATTAGCATAAACAAGCACACAGCAGATAAATACCACGCAAGCATGACACCAAATGGGTAGTCAGGATAAGTACTTCCAAGGTCCGAGGGCAGGGCTACGGTGAATCGACACTTCAAGCTGAGGTCTGACTGAGCTCAGGGGCACAAACTACAAAGCTTAAGGTTTCTAATAACCATAAAAATGAAGTTGAGCATGGAAAAGTTCGCCTTCTGAGAGCAGTGACAGGCTCACTTAGCAGAAACACCTGTTAATAAGCTCATGTGCACCATCAGAAGAACTGAGCTGCCCGATTAAGGACTGATGGAGTGGCATGAATTTTTAAAAAGTGTGATGGAAAAAATTATGTGAATAAAAATCTGCATATTTTGTCCCTTTTTACTCTCCACATGTATCTACCATAATAAATTGTAGCCAATAGCTACTTTTTAAATGACCAGACTCTGAGGGGAAAAAAACCCAAACCAGAAACCTTACAAAGATTCTCTCCTTTTCTTTCTGGATCTTTTATTTCTCTTGGGTCTTGAAGAAAGAGCTTGTAACTTATGACAACTCTAATAAAGGTTAGCCATTAATGTAAAATCAAATAGGTGTGAGACCCCTTCTCATTACCCGTGGAGCACGGCTGTCCCTCCTGGTGACCACTGAGAGCTGGCACTGTGACAAGGCCGCAGTGGTCCAGTGTGCAAATCCTTCTAGCCTGAGCGCAGATATTAGGGTTTCCTCACACACTACTGTCTAGTTATAGTACACCACATAACCATCACTCCCGAACAGAGATGGCAAAGGTATCAGCTTAAGACACTTAGAGAATGCTAGGAGAAAGGAAAGGTGAGAAGGCAGGGAAGGCAGGGCCTGCTTGGGGCCGAGGCGCTGGGCGGCTCTGAGCAGCACCACTGCACCCTGCACTCCTGCAGCTCTGCTCGCTCCAGCAGATGTGCACCAGCAGGAGCTTAGGGTATACCAGACAAGGGACGGGGCACTGGTACCTGGAACGCATGACCACGTTCCCACACGGGATGCAACAAGGCTGACAATTTTTTCTGTTGCCCTTGTTCACAGTGTCATAATATAATACAGTAGTTCAATTTCCTATTTCCTTCCTTAATTATTTTCTCACCTCTCTACATACCAAGAAGGGAGATTAAGGATAAAAGAATTTACTGATTTCTTTCCTATATGGTTCACAGCTTCTCTGACAACAGGAAACTGAGCTAAGGGGCTGGGAGAGGGAGGAGAAACGGTGACTGGGGGCAGTGTGCACACAGCTGCTCCAACGCCACTGGGCAGGAGGAAAGGGAGCACACCGGCCCTCTCCTACCCATGTCCCAGGGGGTCCAGCACAAAGCAACCCCACGGCAATAGCACCAGGGCAGGAGGCCCTATGGTCACTGTGCTCCAGTTCAGGGACAGAGGCCTCTCATCCAAAGCAGCTTTCACATGAAAAGAGAAAGGCTGTCAGTGGCAGAATGCACTGGGCCTACACCAGGTCTAGCCAGGCCCAAACTAGCTGTAAAGACCAGCTGGTTTTTTCCTTTCCCCTGCTCTGCACAAACAGAAGCACAAGTAGCAATGCTCCTAGCACGCTGGCTCACACCAGCAATCTCATACCAGCTGGCTCAAGGGCTGACTGGAGGCCATCCACAAGCCTAACCTCTTTCTCCTTCAGGGGAAACATCAACTTCTTCACTTTTCTAAATCACATTATGCCCATGATAGGGTTCTAACAAGAATCAGGATCAAATGAGAACACAGCCTCTAAACTCATTCCACTTAAAAGCACACCAAATTTAAAATTAGCCTGTCAGAGAAATATTTGTGTTGTTGTGCATCGTTTCTTAGAGGCATCTGTGTCTCCTACCTGATTCTCAGTCCTACCTGAGCTACGAGCTCACTGCTGGGTCAGCAAGCACTCACTTTCATGCGTGAATTTCCACTATACTGGAGCTGGTATCTTGGGATCCATTTGTGTGACATGAATGTTTCCAATTTGTTTCTTTTCCTACTGATAGCATATGTTTAGCCAACTTGAAACATGACAGTTCTACATTTCACCAAGGATGCTGGAATTAGGGGGGAAGGTTCTACTGGACCCTCACACAGCTGAATTTGTAACTAGGGCAGATTAATATATCATGGTAGCTTTTCTACTATCCCTAAGGCATGCTTAAAAATATGCTATTCTTTACAAAAACCTGTAATTGCAGGGCACTTTCCTTAGGTTTTTTTTTCTTTCTTTGTGGGAATATTCATATGAGTCCTAACTTTGGTGGCATATCAGCTAAAACCAAGTACAGAATGCTAAACAGGGAGAATCCAGTGTAATTCACTTCTACAACTGTAATAAAAGCAATTTAATACTGTAAAATTGTTTCCTATCACATATACGACAAATGATTCCCAAGAACATGTCCTTGACAGCTATTTTAAATCACCATGACTTATTTTACTATGATTCACTTAAAATGGATAAAAACTATATATATTGAAATATCCCTAAATTCAAACTGTAAATCTATAGAATACATTTTTCCTATTCAAAACTGTGCAATTTCTTTATTGATACTAACATATACAAACCTGAGTAGTTGCTGCCACAAAATGTGATTTGTGCCAGAAAGCTGTGTGTGATGCCTTCCAGATCACAGTCCCGCAGGTCTGTGATGGGGACGATTAATTTCATCTGCTATAATAAGCAAAACAGCCCAGTGATCCCAATTCCTGATACTGGTTTACAACTATCTGGTAGGGCTGGTGGCAAATCAGGAAGGGCACTGCTCTCTCAGCCCAGGTTGTGGGCCACCAGCTGAGATGGCAGCCTGTCTTCTGGGCTGAATCTTCTGCAAGGCTGTGAGAACACTCTGCCTCGGAATTAAGAAACTAAAAACTCAGTGGTTGGGGGGCAGTGTGACAGTACTCACTTGGGCTGATTGGAAAGGAGCCCTTTCACTCTGAAAGGACAGCTGGCCACTGAGGACACACAGTGACATATTACAAGGGTAAACCTTTCCTACCCTCTTCTCCAGCTCCCCAAAGCATTCAGTGTGATGTGATTGTAAACAGATAAGGATCACTCCAGTGCTGTGCGCCCACCACAGTTAGGACTGCCATTTCTTCTGGATCCCCACCCACCCCACCCAGTTTATGTACAATACATTCACCACCAACAACAGAAATTATTTTAAAAGGCAACATGAAAATTCTGTAAACTGGACCCAGCTTCAAACACAGTAATACTATGAGTAGTCCCTTCCCCAAATATATACCTGAGTTTAGCTGCTCATGAAAGTTTACATGCACCACTCCATTCTTACGTATGCCCCTCCCCCAAGTTTTAGGTGATTCTTCACTGAACAAGAGTCTCAGGACTTGGAAAAGCCATCACTAATTCCAATTCATTTCTTCTTGATTATCAGCTGTGCAAAGGTCCCTGAACCAGGACCCTGCAAGCTGTGTTGGTTATCTAAGGCGTGTGCCCTGGGGGTTCCGGGACGGCTCCAGCTCCTGGTGGCACGAAATGGTGCACTGTGAGGGGCGCGGTGGGGGGTAAGGAAGAGAGATGGGCGAGATCATTCACCCAGATGCTCATATTCCAGTCTTCATGTGCAGCTATCCGCTTCCTTGGAGGTTACTTCCTCCTTGGACTAGCTCTGAGAAAACCAAAACAAGGATGATTTAAATAAAATAGACATTTGTATTAATTGTGAAAAAAAGTAAGCTGAAGAGCTGTCCATGTTCCTCTCATCTGGGAACATGGCTTGATTTTGTTTCACCAGCCACAGGTTACTTCCAGAGAATGAGCACTACAGCCCTGGACCGCAGCCCCATCATTCTGCAGCTGCACAGTAGGGAACGGTAATGAGGCCGCTGATGATGACGTCACACAGGTCGAGGGTGAGACTGAATGAGGCCCTGCACACTGAAGCTCTCAGCACAGTGCCTGGCATGGAAGCAGCCCTCGGAGGCAACTACTGTTATTTAAAAAACTGAGGCCTAGTCCCTCTAAAATGAAATAGGTGGGAAGGATAAAACAGACAAAGGACTGTATAAAATAAATGCCAGTGGCCAGTTTTGAAAAAATGATGTTTAAATAATCCCACACCGTGGGTTTGACTAAGAACAGGAAAAAGGCACATGTGGAAATGGTCGAGAAGCCACTTCTTGAGGCCTTCTTCTCTTGACCTTCCACCACTGAGTCAGCTGGGAGCACAGGGCCTCAGTGGCCCTTTATTTGCCTGCCTGTAAGACATGAAGCTCTTTCCAGGAAAAGTTCCTGCATTAACAGGACACCTCGAAGACTTTTTCAGAACAGCAGTGAAGTCACGTACAGCTGACCAGTGAACAAGAAAGGGGCTCAGGTCAGGGCGCTGACCCACCATGCGGTTGAAAATCCACACGTAACTTAAGTCAGGTCCCTGAACACATGGCTTTCCAGCCACGCATCGGGACTATGTCCTTACTTCCTACCACTAGGAGGAACAAGAGCTCTAATGTTTGGCAATTCTTACCTGATCAAGAGGAAGTGTTGGGGGCTTATGTGGCGGCAGCTCTTCCTGCGACGTTGCTGGTGCTGGGGTCTTTGGGAAGGAGGACTGTGAGTGAACTGGATGGACTTGCATCCTAGAGCCACAAGAAAGGAATAGTTCACAATCAGTGAAAACTTACTAATGAGGGAGGAAAAAAGGTACTTTAATCATGAAAATCTCATGCAGATACTGCCTTAATTACCCAGGTGAACAAACCTGGAATCAACACTGGGACAAAACAGATAGGTGCCTCCAGGTATGAGGCAGTAAGTACATGATACCACCTGCTCAGTGTTCCTCGGCAAAGCCTTTAATCTGACTCTAAACATGAGAAAACAATGAGAAGAATCCAGAATTTGGTAAACTACATGAGAACTGGCCTGGACTCTTTGAAAGACAAAAGAAAACAATACAATGATGGGGTGAATGTTGTAAATTAAGAGACTAAATACGGTAACCAAATGTAAATCATGAACCTTGACTGGATCTTGATGGGAAAAAAAACATCAAAATAAAGAAACACAGCTATAAAGGACCTTTTGAGGACAACTGAAAAAATTAGGACTCTATACTAGACACCCTTTTCCTTGGCTGTGATAATAGTTTGAGATTGTGCACCAGAAGAATGTCCTTATTCTTAGATGATACATGCTGAAGTATTTAGGGACAAAGGGTCAGGATATCTGTAATTTACTTTCCAATGGTTTGAAAAAAGGCAAACAAAAGAAATAAACATTTAGAAAGGTAAAAAACAAACATGGCACAATGTTAAATGGGGGAGAGTGTTTGGAGTGAGGTTGTCTGGGGTTGGCACTGGGCGGGGGCACACTGGTTTTTAAGTTGGACAGTACTGTTTTCTGAGTAGGCTGCATAACTCTGAGAGATGAGGACTAAAACTTGAAGATGCTCCCCTATGCCCGGTCTGAGGGACCTGTCTCACCTTGGCCAGAGAGAAGTCTCTGCCTACAGCTCACGCACTGTGGCTATCATGTTTCCAATATCAAAATCTAACTAAACAGTCATTTAAATGCCAATTCATTTTCATGAGGGAAAAAAATGCCAAAGATCAAATTCCAAGACTAATATATTTCCATTAAGTCTCCTGTATCAACGACTGCCATGCTTTTGTTGGTCCTACATTACTAGTTTATCTTCATTTCTAAGGTCATTTTTCTTTTTAAAATTAACATCTACTCATTTTTTTTCCAGGAAAAAAATAATCGGATGCAATCTTACCCTGATGGTCTGTACATTTCCTGGAAAGGTCCCCTTATTCCACTTCCAGTGCCAATGTGCTCCATCATTACAGCCTGAAAGTGGCCCAGGCCCTCTTCCTGGCAGCGGTAGATGGGGCCCTCCTGAGCGAGGCCGTTGGGCTGGGCAGCCACTGGATGGTGCGGTGGGTGAGCAGGCACAGGGGAAGAGTATACCCTGGGCTGGAAGTGACTGGCCGGCCGCTGAGGTGTGTAAGGAGGCCCCGCTGGTAGCATCACACCGTGCGGAGGGAAAGCAGATGAACCAAAGCCCATCCCTGAACTCAGAGGTGGCGGAGGAGTTCCATACAGATAGTCGCTGGCTGACAACGAGCTCTGTTGCTTGGTAGCTGCATTATGGTTGTCCAGGTCTAAAAATTCTTTGGGACTCTCCGGTCTCTCCACAGATTCATCCAGCTTCTCTTCGTCTGGCCCAGGATTCTGCCCGTCAGCTGCGATGACCTTTGCAGCCACTGCATCCATTTGGGTTGGGGAAGTTAAGGCAGCGTTCAGTGTCTCACAGCCTTGTAGGTTAGCCATGGCGCTCTTATCTGAGAAGAGGGGCCTTGGAGGAGGAGGCTGACTTGGCAGGGGCCCACCTGGGCTTCCCGGGGGATGGAGATGTCTCTGCCAGTCAGAAAAGCCCTGTGGACACGTGTAGTAAGGAGTTCGCTGATAGTGATGGTAGGAAGGCTGAGGGGATGGCTGGTAGGAGTACCTCATTCCTTGGGGAGGGCGGTACCGGGGAAAGACTCCAGAATGAGGGTTGTTAGAATGAAAGCTCCGAGGAGAAAAATGCTGAGGATGGGACCCTGAGGGTTTACCTCCCATCATAGGGCCCAAACCTTGCAGGCTAGGACTGATGTGGTAATGTGCAGGTGAATTGGGGTATTCCAGGCCAGGCATGTACAAGGGAGGAAACTGGCTGATAGTGCCGCCCATCAAACTGGCGTCTGTGTTAGGAGGCATAGCTGGGTTCTGTCCTGTACATGGCATGCTTTCCTGCAATGTTTTGCCTCGGGGGCAGACAGGCTTTTCTGAACCACTACCACCAACGCCCTTCCCCTCTGATCCACAAGTGGGTGCTTCAACAATCAGCCCATTTTCGGGGAGAGCCCCTCTGTTTGCCAGGGTGGAGAGGTCCCTCCCACAGCCCTGGGCTGCTGGGCTGCTGTAGCTGCTCTCGGAGGGCCAGTTGTTTTTGCCCTGTGCCACCTGACACTTGTCTCCAGATGCCGAGGAGTCCTCAGCTTCTCTTTCTTGTGGTGAGCTCTGCCTGGTACAGTTGGTGTGCGGGGAAGGCGCAGGGTGAGGTAGTTGTGTGAGGTACACCCCCTCCGAAGCACCAACGCTTGGTGGCTTCTCCTCAAGCCCAGGCAAGGGATCTGCTGCAAGAAAAATGGAGAACAAAGTAACAATTCATGAGCTGAAATGACAATACTTGACAGAGACGGGAATGAAAAGAACATGGAAGATGCCAGATAAGGGGAGTCATGGGTGTGCGGCCATGCAGGCCGCAGCCGGAACACCTGAGAGTCCCCAAAAGGGTCATGATGCTGAGGCCTTGGCACACACCCTATCACAGCCCAGGGGGCCAGGCCCTGCACCTCTGCAGCTCCTCCTTAGGTCTGCAGAGAATGCAGATGTCCTCGTTTCCCTCTCCCTGTGTTGTCACTGTCAGATTAGTAACAGCATGTGAGGTGACTCATAGCTCCCGAACCTCAAGTAGATCCATGTAGAATACAGCAGGACACAGTTGTCATTAGAATCACTGGCCAGGCCAGGAGGCTCTAAGCCCTGACACAATGAGGAGCCCAGGGCATGATGGGTCTCAGGAAGGCCGATCCCTGACTTGTGCCCCATCAGAACATAAGCTTCATGAAAGCAGGACTCTGTTTTGTTCCCCTTGGTCCCTGCACAAAATGGGGAACCAGTATTTGTTGAATGAATGAAAACACACATCTTGTCTGAATGTCTTGAAAACAAGATACCTACAGCATAAAACTCATAAGCCATCTTTTACATATTAGAAAACATTTAATAAATTAAAGAATTTACTAACTCAAAAATGCTTAATTACAACCACAGAATCTTTTACCTATTATATCAACCCATAAATATGGTCTTATTATTATATTATCATCTTTCTAGTAGGACACAGTTACTGTCCAGGTGCGGTTAAAATATAATTCTGGTACTAGGTCTTAAGGACAAGGTTACGGACTCCCAATGACCTGTAAAGATCCACTAGGACCCCAGGCTGCCGATGAAATAGAGATTAAAGATGCAAGCTGTACAATGAACATTAAAACCTGCACTTTTTATTCTTCAGTCAACATAAAATATGGCAACTAACAAAAAACAGATTTTTTCCAAGGTGTCATCAGTTGAACTGTTCTTCTAAAGCTTTGAATTCCAGACACCATTTGAAATTGGTATTAGAAAATTCTGCTGGAGCTGGTGTTCATAATTAGGCCTTTCCTTAAGAGAAACACTAAGAAGTAAGCTTCAGTTCTAGGCCTACCACCAGCCTTCTGTGGAATCTTCATCCTTCTTATATAAAAGTTCAGTCTCTATTCTTCAGTCATGTACTGAAGAAAATTACTAGCAATACACGTTAGACATCTATCCTAGAAATAAGCACTGACCACACCCAGATTCTCATCTTTCTCCTCCAGTTGCAGGTTCACTCTCTTAAATGGCATTTCTAAAAAGTTCCTTCAAGATTTGCTAGATCTCATAGTTCCTTCATTCTTAGTAGATATTGATATGTTTCCAAGGAATAAAAAGATATTAGACTTCAGGTAAAATACTGAAAACTTATTTCATAATGGTAACGTTCAAGACAGGATATTTTAAAGTCAGTTTGATGAGACAGTGTTAAGAACATGGATGCTGGATCCAGTCTATCTGGGTTCAAATCTATTCACCACTTACTAGGTAGATGCGGGGAAATAATCGAGTATCTTTGTGTGTTGAGACTAATAAAATATGTGTAGCTATCGCTACGGCTCGTTCCAAGAATTAAATGAATTAATGTACATAAAAGTCTCAAAGGGTGCCTGGCACAGTAATCTGGGTAGCGATTACCATCACCAGAAATCCTTTTGGATATTTGGACCAAACACCACCATGATTGGAACCCTGAGTAGTTCAAGAAAAATAGGCTGGAAACCATTTTACATTTGGCTTGATACTGTGTAAAAAGATTATTCAAGAATTAACAGCTTAAAGGGCCAGACATCATATAAAAGTGACAGTGTGAATTACCTCGGTCGTTCTCAGGCTCTTGTGTTTCACTGGTATCCTGTGTCCTCCCAGCGTTCCCCAAGGCAGGCTTGGGGGCTGACACACTAACTGATGCCGAGTGAGCTACCTGTGGGAAAGGGCCAGATACATGAGGGGGTGTGGGCTGTCGGGGGTGGTAAGGCACACCTGGTGGGCACACGCGGGATGACAGCTGCTGCATGGCGATCATCTCCGGGCTGTCCATCATGGAGTCCCCGCCTTGTGCCCCTCGCAGCACCTGGGGGGGAGCTCCAAACAGAGGACTTGGCGTGAGAGGTGGCTGTAACCGATGTCCACCAGATTTACAGGGTGTTCGCATATATCCTGAAGAAGGAACTCCATGAGGTAGAAAGCTTGATTGTTCAGTCCACTGGTTTGGGGGAAGAGGTGGTTTCATCACTCGGGAATCCATCATGTGACCAAAAGTACGAGGCTGGTGAGATGGCCCTGGCCCCATGGGGGGCTTCTCATCTGGCCCTAAGGGTCCTGGGTTTGCAGCACCGTGGTTCCCATTCCAGACAGCAGGGTGTACTCGATTCAGGTATTTGTAAGATTGGTACATGTGGCTGGGAGGAATTTCTGAGCTTTCAGGAAAATCTGGGGGTCGGGCCGGAACCCCTCCATGCCTGAGAGGAATAAATCCTGGCTGAAATTGAGTTTGGGGATACATATTTCCATCCTGAGTGGGGCCACTCATCTGCCCAAGAGGCAAGGATCCAGGATGTGACCCCATGTTAGGGAGATGTGCCAGCCCCCCACGCACTTGCTTCTCTTCTGGTGTGCCTAGCCTGGGTCCTTGGTGGTTGTTAATTCCAACTGGAGGCTGGCAACAAGAAAACAGAAGACAGCAACATTCAGCAGACACACAGACTAAGGTTTACCTTATGCTGTGCTTCATCTATAGTAACGGACTCTACAGAATAGGAGATGATGAACTATGCATTGTAACCCGGAAAGAGACTCTATTTCTGAAACTTACCTGTGAGACCCTCTGTACCTGCATATTCTAAGAAGGCTGCTTACCTGCATGGCAAAAGGTTGATGCTGTACAGGCTCCCCGGGGTGTGGCTCTGGGACTCTAGAGGACACATATAAGTTAGCAGGATCTGATCCTCGAAGAGGGCCAAATGTGCCTGGTACTGCTGGCCTCTGTGGGGTATTGAGTAGAGGTTAGGAGGAGGGAAGAAAGCAGACAGAAAGAAAACAAGGACTTTGCTGAAGGAATGTACACAGACCACTAACACTTAGCACAACTGCCAAGAAAGGGAGTGCTCATCTGGATCAGGACTAACTCCTGCCCCCAAAGCAACCTCCCTCTCCAGGACAGACAAATACTGTCTGTCATTACTATCCCCTTTCTGCCAAGAACGTTTTTAGCCAATTTTTCCCCCTAATTGGCACTCCCCCAATCATGAAATTGTAATACCAGATATGCTCTATATCTTCTGTATTGTATTTATCTCTGTGCTTTATACATAAAAAGACCGAGGCTTTTGTGGGCTGGCCAAGTGACGCATTGGTTAAGAGCTGGCTTGGGATGCCAGAGCGCCACGGTTCGGATCCCACATATGAGGGCCAGTGACACTGCCCTCTACAGCTAAGATGCTAAACAACAGCTCAACCTGGAGCTGGGCTGCCGTGAGTCGCCGGCGAAGGCATAGGCTGCAGCCCCTGCTGCAGTGGGTTGCCATGGGCTACCGTGTGTAGCCAGCAGCCAGTGTGAGCGGCCAGCAGCCGCCGTGAGCGGCAGTCCAAAAGCTGGCGATTTATCTGCCTCGCCCGGGAAGAGCACAATGATGGTGCCAAGTTGGCCAGAGAAGCAACGTCCTCCACAACTAGACTGAAGAACAAAAGGAGAGCAACTTGTCTGTTCCCCTTCCCCCAATCCCCCAGCGCTGTTCCCATCCCCCAATTCTCAATAAAAAAAGCTTAAAAAAAAAAAAAGACTGAGGCTTTTTTTAAATCTCATGTTTTGCCCACATTGAGAATGAGTCATTCAAATGACTAAGAGAAAGGAGGATTTAAAATAAAGGAAGGTGCTTGCTTGGGCAGCATGTATACTAAAATTGAACAACACAAGGTTAGTATGGCCCCTGTGCAAGGTTGAGATGCAAATTTGTGAAGCATTCCATATTTTTAAATATATGGCGAGGGAAGGAGCACTGACTCTGGGTGGTGAACACAATGTGATCCACAGAGGATGTATTATAGAAATGTACACTTGAAACCGACATAATTTTACTAATCATTGTCACACCAATAAATTTAATAAATAAGAAAAGAAAATAAAGAATAAAGGAAGGACCAATGAGGGAAGAAAAAAATCATCCACATACAGAAAAATTATTATGGAAGAGAAACCAACTGAAAAGTCTTTTCTTTCCTTTGAATTCACCAACTAGGTGAAACCTCAGTAGGATGTCAGCTATTCCTTACCATTGGGTTTAAAAGGGGAGCCTGGTTGGGCATCCCACCAAAATGCAGGGGACGAGGAGGGCCTTGGCCGTTTGAAGTGCCTGCCTCCCGAGGGGGCTGCCCAGAGCTGTTGCGCTGGTCACCTCCAGCAGAGGCAAGTCGGCGAGCAGGCGGCAAGGACTTCCCTCCATTCTCCACGGGCTGCTGTTTCCTGCCAGGCCCTTCTGAGTCCCTGGAGCGAGTCCAAACATGGCTTCCAGCACTTCGCCCAGCCCGACTCCGTCTCTTCTCCCGCTTTTCATCCTCTCTGATCCAAAATTCTTCATCTGTATCTCCATCTTCACCAGGAAAATGCTTCATCATTGCCCGATGGAAACACCGCTCTAAATTATCTGACATCTTGGTATACTCTATAGGAAGATAAAAGGATTAAGCTCCGGTATAGCTTTTATGGGCCACAAAAGACAATTCTCCTACTACTAAACCAAAGACGCTATTGGGGTGAACTGAGTTTAACTTTTATTATGTTGTAGAGCTATACACACAAGATGAAGTCATAGTTTCTGTCCTAAGAAGCTCCAGGCTGTAAGGTTGGGACAGTGACTGTAGGATCATTACACTAAACCAGTAAAAATTTAACTGCAGGAAATATTAGGTGTTAAATTAAGGCATTCTAAGCTAACGCATAAATGACTCCGACTTTCTCTCCCCAGAGCCATATACTCGTGTGCTTTGTTATGAGAGAGCAACTCAGGTATGCTGCTCAAGATGGCCTAAGAATCAGCTCCGTCTATCTAGTTCAGTCCTGTCAGTGGTTAGCTGTGGTTAAGGTGGCACAGTACAGACTGAACCCAGACTGGTCTGCAGGATAATGAGAAATCACGTGAGCCCAGGTGACCACAGAATGCACTCTCCTGGTGTGTGGGACAGGAAAGAATTCCTGGCACATACTGCGTAAGTGGTTAGAATGGACAACCCCATGGCTTTTAATACACATCCTTTTTACAGTCCTGAAGAACGGTCTGAACCACTAGAACGTGTATTGCTGAAAGAGAAGGTATTTTATTCTTGGTTACAATGGCACAGCCAATGTGCATCCAGAACAAACCCCTCCCACTTACCACTACTTTCCCCATTATACTTTCGACAATTCCTGAACATAGTCTTCATGTCATTTACAAATTCCTCCTTGGTGCAGTATAAACCTCCATTCAATTTCTTCTCCATGCTTGAAATATCCATGGGGACCTAAAAGAGGATACACTTAATTACAATGTGTTGGGAGCAAATATCTCATAGCCATCTCATGGTAAAGGGATCATGCTTTGTGAGCTGCTCAAAAGCCTGCAGTATATCCAGCAACCCTGACTCTCAAGGACGAGAGATAAACTTACCAAATACAAAAAACAACAAAAAGCATGAGAGATGGGCCGGCCGAGTGGCGCGATGGTTAAGAACTCGCTTGGGATGCCAGAGGGCCCCGGTTCGGATCCCACATATGAGGGCCAGTGACACTGCCCTCTACAGCTAAGATGCTGAACAACAGCTCAACCTGGAGCTGGGCTGCCGTGAGTCACCGGCGACGGCGTAGGCTGCAGCCCCTGTGGCAGTGGGTTGCCATGGGCTACCGTGTGTAGCCAGCAGCCAGCGTGAGCAGCTAGCAGCCAGCGTGAGCAGCTAGCAGCCGCAGTGAGTGGCCGTCCAGAAGCCGGCGACTGATCTGCCTCACCGGGAAGAGCACAATGATGGTGCCAACTTGGGCCAGTGAAGCAATGTCCTCCACAACTAGATTGAAGAACAAAATGACGGCAACTTGTCTGTTCCCCTCCCCGCAATTCCCCAGCACTGTTCCCATCCCCCAATTACCCAATAAAAATCTTAAAAAAAAAAAAAAAAAAGCATGAGAGAAACATGCCACGGCAGGTGTAACTGCACAGTAGGTATAACTACCTTAATAATCTGGTAGTAGTTTGGGGCATATGATTCATCCACAGGTTCCAAAAAGGGCCAGGAGTCCTTGTGAGCCTTCACCACATCTAGAACTGAGAGCCAGAGAAGAGAGCTTCACACACTCCCTTAGAGGAATACTTTAATCAGAAACAAAATATTGAGAATGGAAACTTACCTTTATACATGGCAGTGAATTCATCGTCCAAATCAAAGCTGTAAATCACAAAGTAAGAAATCAATAGTAATTTTGATGTCCATAACACTGGTAACACTTCAGAAAAGAATTATGAAGATGGGGGTTAGCACACTTTAGCAAAAAAGAGAACGTCATTTTTCTCATCTATAAAATGATGGAGATGGCTTACATGATCAAGAACTCAATTTATGATCCTGTAATATTAGTTATTTAATAGCACATTCTTTCCCAGGTTTTATTTTTCTCCAATGAATATTTTTGTGGTATAAGTAATAATAATCCAAAATAGCATACAGTAGAATGAGAAGCTAATGAATACTGAATATTACCTACCATACAAGGTTGTTTTAAGAATGAAATGGGAAAGCGATTAGCACAATGCCTAAGGGCTTAATAAATGTTACAGGTTGCTACTGTTAGTATCATTAAATACTCACAGGTCTTTAGTCTTTTTTTCTTCCCTCATGGGGGAATTAGGGTCCAGATGGGAAAGTTCTGGGGGGAGCGCCTTCCCTTGGGCCAGCAGCCATGCCCTTTCTTCCCTGAGCTTTCTCCTCTTAGCTCGATCTACAATGAATACAAAGCATTTTGGAACAAGTGAGTTAAGTAGTCTCTACCTGTCTAGGTGTTGATTACATGTCCTTAATCATTGTGAGAGAAGGAAGTGGTATCATGAAATTACTTGTGCTTCTTTCACCATCCTCCTTTGGGTAATTAGGATGTCTCTATAGATGGAATGCTTTGTGAAAAACAAAAGGAGTAGGATTGTTTCCTTTTAGTCATAGTGAGTTCAAGTTGGGGGATGTGGGTGGTAGAGCAGGTACACTGGGAGCGGGGAGGGGAAAGAGCAAGGCTGAAGAAAAATGGAATTTGAAGAAAAAAGAAAGCAACAGAAGAGTGAATAAGGATTGATTATCCTTTTTTAACTACAGGAGGCCTTTCCTACCTTTCTCTCTAAAAAGCAACGTACATTTTTAGGACCAGACTCTCCGTGTAAACACACAGAATTTTATAGCATGTCCGAGCTCACCAGGTTTGGCATTTATAAAGGAACCCAGACACGTCCACCGTCTTTGTTCTCCCCCCAAACTCCACACTGCAGCTGGCCTCTACCAAGCCAGTGGCTGGGAACAAGGGAAAGATGCCAGTTGGAAGTGGCAAGGTGCTGGAAGGCAGGGATGATTTTTTTCTGGCTCACTGCCATGACCATGGGAAACTCACCAGCCATTCTGCTACTACCCTGATGAGCCTCACAGCCAGTAGGGAACAGGAAGGTCAGGAGTAGATAAAAGGCAGAGAGGTGAAGAACACTGTCAGACAGCAAGACACAAAAATGGATGGAGGAGGCCAGGACAGAGCTTGTTTCCTTCCCAAGGGATAGGCCCATATCTTCTTCCACTAGGAACATGACCGCTAGGAGCATGACATGATTCTGCAGTGTTTTCCCCGTCAAGTTCCCTTTGCTCTGTGTTTCTGTTCCTATATTATTTTCATTTATAAACTTAGAGTAATCTATATCTGCTTTAATTAATCAAAGGCACTTTGTGATTAACACCTTTTTATTATTGTTTAAAGAGAACCACTTCAAGCTTAGAGAAAAGTGTAACTAAGGGAGACTGGTTAGCTTGGTTGGTTAGAGTGTGATGTTGATAACACCAAGGCTGCTGGTTCAGTCCCCCTGTGAGCCACTGTGAGCTGCGCCCTCCTTAAGGGAGGTCAACATGCCACTGTAGCATGAGGGGCAGTGTGTAACCGGTGACCATGGCTGTGCTTTAATAAAATTAAAAACAAAAAAACCTAAATACCCATGTATATACCAAACTGTCAAAGCTTCACAATTCTCCCTTAACTTTAACACAGTATTTCACAGCTTGATAATCCATTTTCTTGTTGACTGTAAGTTTATGCATTTTGTAAACATAACACCCTTCTTTTAGCATTTGTGTGTGTGTGTGTGTGTGTGTGTGTGTGTGTGTGTACAGGTGTGAAAGCCCTCTAGGGTACAAATCCAGCAGTGGACTTACCAGGCAGAGGAGTACATGTATGTTAATTTAACTTCATGTGACATCGTCAAAGTCCTTCCCAAAGGGCTATAGCTATTCTTTCAATAGTGAATTCAGTCACCTCCCTCTCACTTGGAATGATAAAACATTAGCATTTTGCCAAACGGATGGGTATGACATGGAATTCTGATGATCCCATTTTCATTTTTCTGACTGGAGTTATAATAAGTGGATTTTCAGTTTATTGGGCATTTAGCAACCTCTTCTGTGAATTTCCTGTTCCACATACTTTTTGCCTTTTTTTCCTGTGGGTTTTGGGTTTCTTAATGATTTGGAGAAGTGCTTCAAATAATGTTTGTTGATTACGTGGTTAAAATCATCTTTTGCTACTCCATGGTTTGTCCTTTCAGTTTGTTTAAGGTGTTTCTGTCATATTGTTTTTCAACAATTAATGTAGTCAAATTTATCAATCTCGCTCCCCTTATAATTTGAATTCTTTGTACTTAAAAATTATGTTTTATTTCAATATTTAAGATATTCACATATATTTTCTTCAAAAAGGTTTTGGCCTTTAGTGTATCTAGAACTTATATGAGAAGTGAAGAGATGTCATTCTCCCCCATCAGTAAGCAGTTGTACTGGTACCAATACTGAAGAACCCACATGTCCCCCTGGGGTCTGTTTCTAGGCACTCTAGTTTACTGCTCTCATCATCTATCTTTATGGCAACACTATGCTCTCACTCACCATAGCTTTTGGTATCTGGTAGAATGAGTGTTTCTACCATGTTCTTTTTGGAAATTATCTTAGCTATCCCTTGCCTCCTGCTCTTCTGTATGAATTTTAGTAACATAAAATGATTTATTAACAAATACTGAGTCAGGGTCAAACTTTCCCACATGTTCAATAATTTTTTAAAAGGTTGGTGTGCTCGAATCAAATCCAAAAAGGTCCATACACTGTATATGGTTGACATGTCTCTTAAATCTAGTTCAAATCCTAACAGTATCCCCTCCAATTTCTTTGTTGGAGAAACTTGATCATCTTGTCTGTGCAGAATTTCCCACATTAGGATTTAGCTGATAGCATCCTCACCATGGTGTTAATGTGTTCTACCCCTTGAATTTCCTGTAAAACTGGCTTTCTATCCAGAGACTTTGATCAGTCTGACGTTCTGGCAATATTACTTCACAGATGATGCTGTGCACGTCCTTTTTCTTCACATTAGGAGACAGTTATCTGGTTATCTATCTTTTTGTGAGGCTTAGTTTTATCAGTGTTAACCTGATCCTACTTCATTAGTCTTTCACCTAAGGATTAACCTGAAGAGAACATTACTTGTGTTACTATTTTCTCAGTAATTTCATGGTGTACCTCTAAAGATGCATAGGAGAGAAGTTAATTCATTACATGCAATGGATGCTACAGGGTAGGGATTTGCAAAACGGCCAACTATAGCATGAAGGGCAACTAGCTGACTGCTTTTGTAATAATAAAGTTGTATAGAAGTACAACCCTGTATGGCTTCCAAGTCTAAACTATTTACTATCTGGCTCTTTATAGAAGTTCGCAGATCCTACTTTATGGCATTAGGGTTTAATTACCATATTTCCCCTTGTATAAGACACTCTCATGTATAAGATGCACCTTAATTTTGGGGCCCAAAATTTGAAAAAAAAAAAAAGTATTACATAAAGTTACTGAACTCAAGTTTTATTCATCATAAAATTCATACAACTCCTCATCACTGTCAAAACTCCCAACCATTAGCTTGTCCTCATCTGTGTCTGATGACGAATCACTGTCTTCATATATTGCCTCTCATGGCCTTCTTCTGCCGTGGTGTTTTCAGTAGGGTTTCTTCTTCCTGTAGCCAGTCTCCGATTATTTTCTCAGTTGGTGGAGGACCAAACTTATGTTCAGCAGCATGATTTCCATTCTCTTTTGCAAACTGGATCACTTTTAACTTGAATTCAGCACTGTACGAAAATCTTTTCTGAGCCATTTCTGGGCAGAACGTGGCAAAATGTAACCTACCATAATATACCGGTAACAAGTGCGAAACAATGAGCGCAAAGACAACAAGCGTGAAAAAGCGGGAAATGCAAGTAAAAAAATCTACAACCACTGTATAAGACACATCCAGTTTTTAGACCCCAAATTTTTTGGAAAAGGGTGCGTCTTATACATGGGGAAATATGGTAAGTCTCCCTTGGCTGAGGAAAGCTTTGCCTAGATCCACTTTTTCATCACTTGTTAATGCTAATTCTATTATTCCTGCTACATTCATTAGCCAAATTCTTCTTTTCTTCATAAATTATTTGCATATTCTGAAATACTGTCTGTAAAGAGAACAAAAATGCTTGACTCTTCCCTTCTATTTTACCAGTTTTTAGAATAACAAGTTATCCCATTAAACTCCTAAGGTGATCTCTGACTTTTAAAACATACTACCATGATGAGTTCATGAATTTTTGTACTTATTTTATGTATTTTTAAATCTATTGAGGTTTTTGTTTGTTTTGTTCTTTTAATGCTTAAAATGTCCCATTTTATCAGTGAGAGTCACTTCCAGTTGGCTCCTGTATTTTTGGATAGAACTTCCAAGAGTCTTGGATACTTCCTTGCTTTCTGTTATAAAACAATCTGAGTTCACCTTATATTTTTATTGTCACAGTACTGGAATCAGTCATTTCTTCAAAGAGTCTTGGTTCCTCTGGAGTGAAATTATGTTGAGACCACCATGTGAATGTTAGAAATTCTCCTCGCTAATGGGTCGTGCTATCTTTTAAAAAATTATTCATGTTGATAATGAATCCAGCTACCGGTCTGAATTTTTATTTTATAATGGTTTCTTGACTGTTTCTTGGAGTTGTAAATCATACATTCCCTAAATATATATACATATATACACACACATTTCTTTCCTTTCTAGATAAGAAAGGCTTATAAAACAGTACAATGTGGAACAAGAGAGGAAATTCTTGCTTTCTTCTGAACTCTGAAAGGGAGTAGTTCTTATGTCTCCCTATTAAATAGAATGTCTACTTAGATTTTTCTTATAGATATTGGTTAAGGAGCTCCCTTCTATTCTAAGTTTTCAGACATTGCTACTATCCAAGGGATGCTAGGAACTCTAAGATTCTGCCCTTGAGTCTTTGGAGACTGTGGCCTTGTCAACATCTAGATTTCAGGTTTCTAGTCTCCAGAACAGTGAGTAAATTTCTGTTTTAAAACACCTAGTTATGGTCATTTGGTATGTTAGCCCTAGGAAACAAATACAGGATCCAATCCCATTTTCTCCTGAGCCCTACTGTTGCTTCTGAGAAGTCTGCTATCACTGTTAAAGAACATCCTCTAAGGAAATGTCTTTTTTTTTTCCCCCTTAGGGTTTTTTTTTTTTTTTAAGATTTTTTATTGGGGAATCGGGGGAGGGGAACTGCACTGGGGAATTGGGGAAGGAGAACAGACAAGTTGCTGTCCTTTTGTTCTTTAGTCTAGTTGTGGAGGACACTGCTTCACTGGTCCACGTTGGCATCATCATTGCGCTTTTCCCAGATGAGGCAGATCGGTCGCCAGCCCCTGGACGGCCGCTCATTTTGGCTGCCGGCCACACGGTAGCTTATGGCAGCCCACTGCAGCAGGGGCTGCAGCCTACGCTGTTGCCGGCGACTCATAGCAGCCCAGCTCCCGGTTGAGCTGTTGCTCACCATCTTAGTTGTAGAGGGCAGTATCACTGGCCCCCATGTGGTATCCAAACCGGGGCCCCGCTGCTCAGAGCTGGCATCCCAAGCCAGCTCCTAACCAACGCGCCACTCTAAGGAAATGTCTTTTTCAAGCTGGTTATTTTCAATTCGGTGCCCATATGTTCTGTAATTCAGTATCTTGTGTTTACATGTAATTTATTTCCAGTTTACATCTCTTCTTGCTTTCTAAATCTGAGGATTTGTTTTTCATCTAATCAAGAAAATTCTCAACCATTATGTGTGATTATTTTCTCTCGATTCTTTCTGTTTTAGAACTTACAGTAGACACATATTGGATCTTTCATGCTATACACCACCTGAGTCCTTTATTAAGCTAGTTTGGTCAGCTCCAAATCCATCCAATTACAGATTCTGTCAGAAGCGGGTGCTAGGGAGAGCAGGAGGCAGGATGAGGAAAGAAGGGATTTCTTTCCTCTTGTTTGCTTGCCGTTGCCATGGCAGCATAACCAGTCTTCATCTGGGGAGATGCAGTGGGCCCTGATAACTAGGTTCTTTCCAGCCCCAGTACAGGCCTGCTATTGGCCTTGGAGGTATTGGGCAGCCCCATCTTCCCAGGTCTGAGGCCCAGCTCTGCAAGAGTCCCTCCTCAACTTCCAGGTTCTGACAATTCCAACCTCCTCTTCCCTTCGTTCCCCTTGCTTTAGGGGTGCTAACTCAAAACGCCCTTTTAACACTTTTATTTCTCTAACTCCATTTAACCAAAGAGCCATATGTAGTTTTGTTTTCACAACTAGACACTGAAAGATTAACCAAAGGTAACTTCTTTCATTGCATCCATGTTCTTTATCTCGGGGCTGGATTTCACAGAATTCCCCAGGTATTTATTTCTTCCAGTTCGCTGATTCTCTTTGATGGTACACTTAAAGCTATTTAACCCAGTTATTGAGTTATTATTCCGATGACCATACTTTACATTTCTAAGAGCTCTATTTGTTTCCTTTATATCTGCCTGTATTTTCATCAAGGTTATTTTTTCCCGATGTTTACAATTCTTTCCTTTTTATATCCGATAATGCTAAATATATTTATTTTTTGTCTACTGCATGTACCAACCATTGTTCACAGTGGTGCTTCCTCGTGTGCTTTCAAAGTCTAATTTTCTATCCATCTTTTGCAGGGATTTATGTATGGTTATCACTCCTGGGGAGGGGAAGAGATTCCCATATCCACAATTCAACCTAACAGTCTGCCCAATAACTTACTGCTGGTCTTCAGTTCCCCTGACAAGTTCTGATAAATTCCTTCCTTGGTTAGGATTTCAGATATGCTCTTAAAAAGGGTATTTATATAATATTAGATAAAATATTGTAACATATAGATAATATATAACAAATAGAATAAACACGTATTTAAGGCAAGAATTTTTAGATTTCCTATCAACCATATTGAGAGACTGAGAAAATCTCAATGTCCATTTCCATACTGACTTGGCATGAATATTTATAATTCAGTCTTGTAACATCGTTTTTATACAAAGGCAATACTAATAAGCAGCAGTACATTTATTTGGCTTTCCTTTTTTGTTTTTCAAAAAATTTTAGCAAAAAATACATAAAACGTTATCTTTTTAACCAATTTAAGTGTACAATTCAACAGCATTAAGTACATTCACAATATTGTGCAACCATTACCATTATCCATTTCCAGAACTTTATTATCCCAGACAGAAACTGTGTTATCCACTAAATAACAACTCCCCATGTCCCTCTCCCCTGGCTTATTGCATTTAGGATTATGTTGTAGCATGTGTCAGAATTTCATTCCTTTTTAAGACTAAAAAATAATCCACTGTAAGTTTATACCAATTCTGTGAGGTGAACATGATAACCACTGCACTTATGGAACCATAATCATAACACATTTTGTTTATCCATTCATCCACTGGCGGATATTTGAATTGTTTCTACCTTTTTGCTTCTTTCTACCTTTCTTAATCAACTTCCCTCTCCTTTCAAACTTCTTTAAACAAATGAAAGCTATAAGCCCTCTCTTTGGAAATATGTGCCTATGTGTCACATCACATTAGTTTTGCCAGCCATTTCAGGGAACCCTTCTACTAGTGACAGACTCCCAGCATTGTGCAGAAGCATATAACCAACAAATTTCATTAGTAAGTTGTTTGCTCCCTTTATAGACAGATCTTAAACATCAATATGAAAAATGTTCTGACTCACCCTCAACACAAATATTAGTCATTATGGTACAAGGACCGACATAATGAAATCCTCTTAGAATTTAATGTCACAAAAAGTTTGTTTTTCTATGTTAGCTTAAAATTTGCCTACCAGTAAATAATCTATTATTTCCCCAAGAAATGAGGAAAAGTTTACTGTCATAACTATTTTATACCTTGCAAAAATTCTCTTCCCATTTCCTCCCTGGTACTTTCATTTGAGAGTTTGCTGTGTATGTGCTAGGTAGGGACTGTCCTTCTCTCATTTAATCCCTGACAAAGTCTGCACGACTCTACTGGATCAGACCCCAGCTCACCTCAGCACTCACTTCTTGCCAGTGGCCCTGCTGTGCTCACTGACCCTGCCACATCGGCCTTCCCACCGCACATCCCACCCCAGTCCCTCTGCCTGCAGTGCTGTGCTCTGTCAGATGCTCACGCAGCACCTAGTTGTTTCATTATTAAATGTCATTTTCAGAAGGCTTTCCTTTTTTTTTTTTTAGCTGAGCTATCCTGCCACCTGTTGGCAGCTCAGCGGCAACTCAGCTCGGGTCGGGCATCAAACCGCTTTTGCTCAGAGCTTGCACTCTTGCACGAGCTTTTAACCAACTGAGACACTTGGTCAGAAGGCTTTCTTGACAATTTTATTTAAGTGCTACATATACCATGTCGCTCTTTATCTGTAAACCAGTTTTATTTTTCTGCAGATCATTCACCACTATGATTCACCCTCTGTCTTTCCACCATCAGAATGTAAACTCCATGAAAGAAGTAACTTATTTTATTTAATACTCTGTTCCTACAACAGTGCCTGGCACAGCATGGGTACTCAAAAAATCTTCACCGATTTAAAAAACAATCTATAACATGGGTATTATTAATCTTACAGGTACCGAAACTAAGCCACAACAATAAGTTTTGGACCTGTCTGTATAATTAAAAGTCAAACTGACAACAGTGTACTCAATAATAACTTCACTGAAAATTACAGAATCCCAATGAAAAATAAAACGACCTAAGAGCCATAATTACAATCTAGCACTGGAAATAAAATACATGCAAAATCCTACAAGGTGGATATACCACATAATGTGGCATAGGCTAAATTTGCAGATTAAATGCACTAAGGATTTTAGAACGAAGAAATGATCAAGGTAGTAACGGTGTTAACCTAAATGTACATAAGACCAGGAAAAAATCCTTTAAATTTTATAGCCTCAATTTATTTAAAATTTTCATTGAAAAACCGCCTAAATGTCAAATCTCTGTTATGCTAGTTTATTAAAAATTTTAAAAGTTCAATACATTTATTTAAAAGAAAATTAAGTATTGGTCGGTATTCAACCAAGCCATATGATCTGTTATCACATGACATATCAGGTTCAGCTTATAAATATAACTGCTACCTAACAAATCTAGAGACAGTTGTTATCCTTTGCTATAACTACAAATGACAGAAAAATCTCATTATACCAATATTAAGACCTGGACCTCAACTTGAGAAAACTATTTGCTCTCACAATTAAAGATAATATTCTATATTTGCATAGTGTCATACATAAAAATAAAACTCTAAAACTTTTCTTAATCAAATTTCATTTGTGTTTAAAATTCTCTGTGAAATTAGTTGCCATCAATACCTTAATTTCTGCCCCTATTCTACACAAGGGATACAGCAGAGATGAGGACAACAAGCAAGAGACTGAAAGGAAGACCCAAAATGACAAATACAAGCGCTTTAGCAGGAATGCAATGGTAATGATATTAGATCCAGATGAACAAAGAAGACAGAACATAACTTACAAGAGAGAAATTGCCAGAAACAGCTTAGATAACCCAGCGTGATGTGGTTCTGGCTGCAGGAGGGCTATTCCCTTACCATACGTGCCTCTCCAGACTATGCAGAAAGCCCACATACCTTCCACTGCCTTTACTTTTTCCTCCAACTCTCGTTTCCTCTCTTCCTTTAACATCTGTTCTTGCTCCTTCTTCTGCACTGCTAGAAGAATTTGACGCTCTTCTTCCTCCTCTTTGCGCTTCTGTTTTTCTATTCTGGTAAGCATAGGCGTCTCCTGTGAGGAGCCAATAGGTATATAGAGTCAATACACAACAATATAAGATCAGTTCTTCACTCTTGAGTTAAGATGCAATTTTTATTGAACTAAATTTATTCAATAAATATCACATAGCTAGGGAATTTGTAACCTCACATTCATTTTATCATCTAAAGAACACATATGAATATATATGTAAATACTAACATTAAAATACAACAGAGATTTAAAACAGAGTAAGAGTTTCAGGTCCAATGATTTACTTAATTATAGTCTTAGGGAGATAATCCTGTGAAGAACATGCTCAACCAGAGAAGAACAACTGAGGCAGTTCAGAGACACCATACATATAGATTTACTATTTGATAAAAGTGAAATCTTACAAAGTACCCTCATCTATGTAAAAGGATGAAAGACAGTCGCTAGAAAGAACAACATTTCAACAATGTGCATCACTTTGAAACCTTAACTTTTATACTTTTCTTTACTAATAAAACAATGTATAAAATCAGAGGCTTGGTGGGAAGGGCCACCATTTTGCCTTAAATACAATGGTAATTTGTCTAAGAAATTGAATAAAAGAAAAAGTAAACAAAAACAAAAATAGGACCATTAACATCGTAATTTATGTAAGTTTTACTCTGTATATTTTCCAATGTAACTAATTCTGAGCCATTCTGTAGCCCAGAGCACTGAAGCTAGAACTGAAAATTGTTTTTCAATTTCTGTCCTTGACTTTTGTGCTGATGTGAAAGCTAGACATTTTAAATCGTTATTGAAGAGGTAATAACTATTGCCTACAAGAGGGAACCTAATAAAAGTTGAAACTTAATCAGGGATGCGAAGCTTTTCTTTTTTTTTAAAGATTTTTATTGGGGAATTGGGGGGATGGGAACAGTGCTGGGAAATTGGGGCAAGGGGAACAGACAAGTTGCTGTCGTTTTGTTCTTCAGTCTAGTTGTGGAGGACGTTGCTTCACTGGCCCAAGTTGGCACCATCATTGCGCTCTTCCCGGGCGAGGCACATCAGTCACCAGCTTCTGGATGGCCGCTCACTGCGGCTGGTTGGCCGCTCACTGTGGCTGCTGGCTACATACGGTAGCCCATGGCAACCCACTGCAGCAGGGGCTGCAGCCTACGCAGTCACCGGCGACTCACGACAGCCCAGCTCCAGGTTGAGCTGTTGTTCAGCATCTTAGCTGTGGAGGGCAGTGTAACTGGCCCTCGTATGTGGGATCTGAACCGTGGCCCTCTGGCGTCCCAAGCCAGTTCTTAACCATCGCGCCACTCGGCCGGCTCCGCGAAGCTTTTCTTAAAGGATCTTTTCAATAGGAAGAAGACCTAACAATCTTTTATGCCAGATATATTTTTTAAAGTTTTATACTGGAGATTGCTCAAGTAGTCTTAATGTGGGGAAGAAAAAAGTGAATGAGATCACCATTTACACAAGTCATCATTAAACACCCAAACTGCTGTGAGTAAAATCTTATATTATTTTCTTTATAGACCTTAAAGTCTGTTTAGATTCTCATTTGATTCAGCTTTCAGAAGTTGTCTTGCCTAGAGAGGAGACCTTTTCAAAGTCATTTCTGTCACTCAAATTCTATGAATCTGACTTTAAAAGAGTTTGCTACCTGCCAGGTAAAATCTGGAATGAAAAAGAGATGAAAATGAAACAAAAGAATTAACCATTATTACTGCATACATAACACTGTACTCATAAGGAGCCTCAACAGCCCAAACAGAACTCAAGTTCCCTAAAATCTTTATCCTAGAACCAGAGCAGGCAGGCAGTTAGATAGGCTAGACATTGTTTCTGAAATGGGGATGCTCCTGGCATGAAGCAAGGGCACTTCTCATGAAGACTGCACCTCTAGTTACAGCCTCCTAGATGCCAGCTAAGCACCTCCTCTGCAATCAGCAAGTGCCATTCCCTGTACCTTCCAGGCCCCCAGGATCTTACTTATTCCAACTTTCTGGCAACATCTTTAATCAGGTGAGAACTTATGGTGGAACACAGTTAACAAACTAAAGTCTTTGCTCCTTTCAGTTGTATATTGATTCCAAACAGATACTTTTAATGTATCAATTCATAGGGTGGGAGAAAGGCAGTAGAGAGAGGAAAACTAAGCCTTGTCGAAGGAATTACTTCATTCAAATAAGACTGTATAGCCTTCTATACGTCAGACACAATGAAAGAGAATAAAAGGGTGTGTTACTGACATAAAATGGTAATGCGTGTGCATTCTGTCCCTCTATGAGAAAGGACAGCAGGTAAAAACAGGAACTATCCTTCCTCCAACCAGTACAAGGGGATATTAAATAGGATCACCAATTTAATAAGGACTAAAGAAATGCAAGTCAATGACTCTTGAATAGAAATATCTGAAGTCACTAAAGAATCATCTGGAAAACAAACATGGAGACATTTCATGCTTTTAGTCAATGGAAGGGGGAAAGGGAAAAAAATAAATTACCTAAATCTTTAAAATATTAAAAAATATTTTTGTAACAACTTTGACGGTTTATTATTCTTAAAATGTAAAGATGTCTTACAAATCAATTAACAGTAGCCCCCCACACAAAACAAATGACATGAATACAAAATTCATAGAAGACAGGTAAACCACACCAATGATCAAAAGGAAGAGTAAAATAGCCTTTTCACTTAAAACATTATTGGGTTGGCCAAGTGGTGTGTTGGTTAGGAGTTGGCATGGGACACCAACTCTGAGCAGCAGGACCTCAGTTTGGATCCCACATGAGGGCCAGTGATGTTGTGCCCTCTACACCTAAGATGGTGAACAACAGCTCAACCTGGAGCTGGGCTGCGGTGAGTTGCCGGAGATGGCGTAGGCTGCAGAGGGCTGCTGTAAGCTACCGTGAGTGGCTGGCAGCCAGTATGAGCGGCCGGCAGTAGGCGTGAGCTGCCGTCAGCTGCTGTGAGCGGCCTTCCAATGGCCGGTGAGCGACTGCCTTACCTGGGAAATGCACAAGGATAATCCCAACAAGTGCCAGTGAAGATGTTGGGAGCTGACTGGGAACAGTC